AAGATTCCTTTTGAAATTAAGTCAATTATCATTTGTTCAAATATTATTCTAAAATTGAGAGACTCATCATATTTTTGGGGTTGTAACAAAGCATTTAGTTCTTCATAGGCTTGTTTATATAGCTATAAAATATCATTAACCATAATTCATTTTAATTTCCTGCATACAGAACACCAAATTGAACTTAAAAACATATGTAGCTTATATATAAACTATTTTATAATAATTTCTAATTATCCTGTTAGAAAAATATGTTTGAATTTATAAGACATTTATAAAATGGGATTTTGAATTTTCTAATTTATTCCTTTCCTGTAAAATTTCTAAATGAGTTGTTATAAATATAAAGAATTATTTGATACAAAAATAGTCAAAATTAAATGTTTTCATTAAAAAAGTTGGTATTATTTAAATTTTTATAAATGATATAGATATCAATTATTTTCTTCTAGAAAATTTATTGTATGTACTGAAACTTAATAAAGTATCATCAATAAAAAGAAATTAATAATATTAAAATTAATTAATTTTATTTTCAAACTATCAACTTAAATTCTCAAATGATAAGGGAAGATTTATTTAACTATTTGCCATTTTGTAAAGTTTGATAGCATATTAAGACTATCTGGGTTTTTAAAATTTGGATCAAGATAAATAGCTTTCATAACAAATAATTACATTTATGTAGTTTTTCAATTTAAATATTTAACAAATACTAAAATCTTCTAAGTTAATATAATAATGAAATTCCTAAACCTTTAAATTTATAAGTTAATTCTAAGTTGGGATCATATTAAACTGCTTTAAAGAAGATAATCAATGCTACTTCATATCATTTAAGATAAATTAAAAATTGAATAATAAAAAGTATACCTGTATTGTTAGAGAAATCACCATTATATGTGAATTACTTAATCATCATAAATACATAAGTCTTCAAATTATCATAATAGTTCTAAAAAATTCATAGAACATATTGACACTAGATTCATTAGATATAGACCTTTAAAGAATAACTAATAATTTAATTCTTTGAGTTATCGCAAATATTTACATATCTCAATGAGTTTTGTTTCATTAAAATATATAAATCATATTCGATATTTAATTTACCTAAAAATTATGTGAACTATTATATTATTTATTCTCAATCCTACTTTAAATTTCATAATATTCAATTATATAGTATATAATATATTAGAGAATTAAATAATTTCTCATAATAAAATCATAATATTTTACATCAACAAACTATAAAAATACTAAAATGATAATTAAAAAGGTCTATTGATTTTTTTTTTAATTTTGAATATAATTAAGTATTGCTCGAATTAATTGTTGAATTATTTTTTGTTGAGAATATTTTTAGAATCTAAATTAATTGATTTCAACAGAATAGGGAATAAAAATTGATAAAATTTTAGAAGATTATTAATATTTAATCATATCTGAGAAAATATCCATAGTAGAAGACTGAATAGGAAGTTAAATAAATTTGATACATTAATAATAATATTTTGTATCCAATTCTATTAGATAACCTTTGATTTCCAACATTGAAACCCTTTTAACAAGTCGACTTAATCAAATTTTATTTATATAATAAATAAAATATAATTCGAAGACTCTTCTTATTTCTTCTAATTACATTTAGCATATATAGCATACAATTTTGTTAATAATAATCATTAAACAAGAAATCAAAAATAAAATATTCTTTATATTTTGAACTATATATAAATTTACATGTAGATAATGAAAATGAAAATTGATAATATCATATTGTTAAAATGATATTATTTAAAATACTAGATTATGCACTGAATGAGGAAAATATGAATTCAATCTTAAAGATTTATAATAAGATCAAATATAGTAAGAGTTAATAGATAGTACTGCCAGCCTTTTGCGCCATTGCTGAATAGTTTCTTGTAATGTATTTTTAGATTCACTAGAGGTCTCTAAATTTCTTCAAATTAATTTAATAATGCAAATTCCTCTTTTTTTTTGAAGATCTTTGTTTAAG